CAACAGCCCCCAGAACAGCCAGGACTTGGTAGCTTTACGGAAGGCCGGGAGGGTAGTAAGGGTCCGGATTTCCACGGGGAGCTCGTTCCAGAGGGCGCTGGAGCTGCAACAGAGAAGGCTCTCCCCTGGGGGATCACCAGCCGATATTGGCTGGCAGATGGAATCCGGAGAAGGCCTAATCTGTGCGATCAAATCGATCTTTGGGAGGTAATTGGCAGGAGGCGGTCTCTCAGGTACCCAGGTCCGATGCCATGTAGGGCTTTATAAGTAACTACCCTCAGGTGCTCTGGAGAATAGCTTGACTCCCTCTTCTTTGTGGCAGCCCCTGAGATATTGGAAGACTGCTATCATGTCTCCCCTAGTCCTTATTTTCATTATTTTCTTTATTTTCATTTCATTCCACGGGTCAGATCTAAGCGCCCACGGGCCTTGAGTTTGATACCCCTGTCCTATAAGGTGCCCTTGAGGGGTGGAGGGGAAAACATAAATAAATAAAAAATTAGTGTACAGGTCACCTCCTCTTTTCTGAAAACGGCCGCCTTGCAGTCTGCGTTGGGCTTAATGCACCGGATGTAGTGCGGGGTGGTGCTGTGCAGGATCTCCATCAGCTGCTCGAGGGAACCCTGCAAGAGAAACAAGAGAAATGGGCTCTTGAGGATTTTGGAAAGAAAAGAGCTGATCTGCAGTGAAATGTTGCAGTGTAATGCATTCCTGTTCAAAGCTGCAATTCATTAGCATGGCTCTTTTCTAAGGCATCCCAAATACATATTGTCTCCAGGTTTTATCCCTTCCCACTGCAGCCAGCAATCTGTGCCTGCTACACTCATCAGAATCACGCCTCATAAGAAGCCTGGGGGGAAGCAGGATGTGAAAGCAAAGCAAAGCAAAGCTGGGGGAAGCAGGGCACTATGTGAAGCCAAGGGACTGACTCAGGGGTGGGTTGCAGGCGGTACGCCTCGGTATGGGCGTACCGGATCCTGCCCGGAGCACTGGGCACCGTGCTCCGGAGGGCCCACCCGCCCAAGCTTCTTACCTGTGCTTTAAGCTTTTGGCGTTTCCACGCACGTGCATGGCCGAGCAGCTGGAGCGTTGCAGAGGCTTGCAGAAGCGTCATTTGACGCTACAACACATGCGCGCGCCGTGCGCCACGCACAGGCATGTGGGTGACTCCAGGGCCGTTCCAACCGTAGCTGTTGGAACGGAATCCGGAACCCACCACTGGACTGACTGGAATAATTTGAGGTTTTTCCTGCTGGCTTCCCCTATGTCTTTGCTTATGGGAAGCCGGCAGGCAAGGCTGCAAATGGGAATCATGTCACTGTGGGGTGGTGCAGTCATCCTAAGCGGCAGCTGGTTGCCAAGTGTCCAAATCGTGATCATGTGACTGCAGGGTCCTGGGATGGTCAGAACTTCAAAGACCAGCCGGAAGTACAGGTAGTCCTCGACTTGTGATAGTTCTTTTAGTGACTATTCAAAAGTACAATTAGTCCTTGATTTACCACAGTTCTTTTCGTGACCCTTCAAAGTTACCATGGCATTGAAAAATGTCACTTATGATCATCTTTCACACTTATAACTATTGCAGCATTCCTATGGTCACGTGATCAAAATTCACACATTACCAAGTGACTCGCATTTATGACCGTCACCGTGTCTGGGAGCCATGTAATCCCCCTTTTATGATCTTCCGATAAACAATGGGTACATCAGATTCTCTTAACAGCAGGGTTGCTAACTTAACAACTGCCGTGATTCACTTAACAACTATGGCAAGGAAGGTCATAAAATGGGCAAAACTCACTTTACCACCATCTCACTTAGCAACAGAAATGTTGGGATCAGTGGCGGTCATAAGTCAAGGACTAACTGTATTACTTATTCGGTTCTGTTACAATTTCAAATGGTCATTGAACAAACGGCTGGTAACTGAGGACTATAGCAATAGCAATAGCAATAGCAGTTAGACTTATATACCGCTTCATAGGGCTTTCAGCCCTCTCTAAGCGGTTTTACAGAGTCAGCATATTGC